TGAGGTCTTGCCAAGTTGCCCAGGCGGGTCTCTAACCCACGGGCTCAGGCAATCCACTCATCTCAGCCTCCCAAAGCGCGGGATTACAGGCTGAGCCACCGAGCCCGGCTGGAAGGTGAATTTTTAATAAGCATCTCAGGTGATTCTAATGAAGATGGTCCTGGGACAAGTTTTATAGAAAATCATGACTTTAAAACCTAGAAAGGCAGGGTGCAGTGGCTCAGGCCTGTAATCTTGGTACTTTGGGAGGCTAAATTGGAAGGCTTGCTGAAGGCCAGGAGTTCCAGACCAGCCTGGGTTGAAGGGCCACTGCCAAGCCACAAGTAAAGCCACATCCCCTCCCTTTCCTGGAAATGGTGACCCGGCAAACTAAAATAGTGATTGAAATGGTGCCTTCCTTTGTTCTCCCTCCGCACCCCTTCCCGTGCCCGCGAAAAACCCACCAACCTGGATGGAGCTCTGCCAGCCGACTAATAATCGACTGACAGGTCGCCCTAAGCCCCCATAAAGGCTGGAGCGCCCTTGCTTCAGCGCTACAGCCTGACCCTCAGGTCCTGTAGCCACCGCGTTCGACCCATTAAATCTCTTGGACTTAACGGGTGTTGAGTCTCACTGTGCCCTACCGTCTTTTATGGGTAACATAGCGAGACCCATGTCTACAAAAAATAAAAATGTTAGCTGGGTGTGGTGGCACACACCTATAGTCCCAGTTACTCAGGAGGCTGAAGTGGAAGGATCCCCTGAGCCCAGGAGTTCAGGGCTGGACAGTGAGCTATGATTAAGTCATGACACTCCAGCCTCAGCAATAGAGCAAAACCAAAACCAAAACCAAAAAAAACTAGAAATGGAAACTAGCCTAAATGCTTTGTTATCTGCTGGTAATCGCCCAGAGAGGACTTCTAGGTGCAACTGGCTCCTGTGAGCTCAGCTTTACTTGAATACAATGGGCGTGGCCTGTTATGGTGCAGCCCTCATGAAAGTGGCAGCTGAAACAGAGCACCTACAACCTCTGACTCAGGAAAGCAACACGATTTGGGGGAGGGGCTCAACTTTAGACCCGGGGAGGTTGTCCCCGCAGAGCTACGTAGCACAAAAGAACAGGATTCAATGACCTAGAGTGATTACTCACGTTGACAAGTCTGGGATCACAGAAGGACGACCCAGTTAAGAATTTAATTATTTTTTTTTTTTGCTTGTATTGAAGGCTTAGTGACATGGTCCTGCTCCAATTTGTGAACATTTTCCCATCGTCTTTTGGTTCACAATCTCTGCCTTCTGTTCTAGAACCAACCATCATCCTGAGATCCCAAGGGAGAGCCAGCGGTCCTCATTTTTTTATTTTTATTTTTTGAGTTGGAGTCTCACTCTGTCACCCAGGCTGGAGGGCAGTAGCACTGCAGCCTCGACCTGCTGGGCTCCGGCGATCCTTCCGCCTCAGCCTTCCAAGTAGCTTGAACTACAGGCATGTGCCACCATGCCTGGCTAATTTTTTGATTTATTGTAGAGATGAGGTCTCGCCATGTTGCCCAGGCTGGTCTCGAACCCGTGGGCTCAGGCAATCCTCTCACCTCAGTCTCCCAAAGTGCTGGGATTATAGGTGTGAGCCACTACGCCCGGCCCAGAGGTCCTCATTGAACATGACTCCTTGACAGTCTCCTGACTCCACAGTTCTGTCCATGCAGGTCCAGCACACACCATTTTTTGTGAGCGGCATTCCATGCACAGCTGCCAAGTAGCTGGACCCTGGCCTTTCAGGAATGAACACTGGCTCTTCAGCTCTGTCCCATCTGTAGTGACCAGTGGTATCTGACCACCAGGATACAAGTGGGGGCCCTGTGTGAACCGGGCAGGGAGGACCAGGCTGGGGGGGGGCCCGTCTCTGGGCAGCATCTGAAGCCGTGAGGGGAATCCTGGCCTCCGAGCAGGGTAGGGAGGGGAGCTCAGGAGGTGACCTGGGTGACAGAGGGTGCAGCTGCTAACCAAGCTGCACAAGGACACAGCACTCTACAGTGAGTCCAGAGCTTCTTGGGTATCATCTAGGCTGAGGACACTGGTGACAGTTACTGCCTGTGCTACTATTAGATACAGACCAAGTTGAGGTCTTGCTCTGTCACCCAGGCTGACATACAGTGGCACGATCATGGTTCACTGTAATCCTGACCAGGAGCTCATGTGATCCTTCCACCTCAGCCTCCCAAGTGCCTTGGGACTATAGGTGTGTGCCACCACATCTAGCTAATTTTTTGATTTTTTTTTTTTGTAGAGACAAGATCTCACTATGTTGCCCAGGCTGGTCTCCAATTCCTGGGCTCAAGCTATCCTCCCCTCTTGGTCTCCCAGTCAAGAATGCACTTCTTATTTAAATTTTACTCCCTCATGCATAAGAATGTATACAAAAGCAATGTACACATATGCATTTTGGGGTTTCTCTGGAATAAAAAAGGTAGACCTGGCCCAGTGGCAAATGCCTATAATCCCAGAATGAGCCACTTGGGAGGCTGAAGTGGGAGGATTGCTTGAAGCCTAGGAGTTCCAGACCAGCCTGGGCAACATATAAAGACCTTATCTTTATAAAAAAAAATTTTTTTTTTTTTGAGTTGGAGTCTCACACTGTCACCCAGACTGGAGTGCAGTGGCCGCTCCCGGCCACCGCAGCCTCGACCTGCTGGGCTCAGGTGATCCTTCCACCTCAGCCTTCCGAGTAGCCGGAATCACAGGCATGCGTTACCACGCCCAGCTGATTTTTTGATTTATTGTAGAAATGAGGTCTTGCTGCCCAGGCGGGTCTCGAACCCGCG